CACAAATTTATTTGGATAAATATGCAAAATGAATTTTTTATAAGCCTATTTTTTAAAAATGAATTTATAAAAAACAGGCTTATAAAAAAAAGTAAACAGTTTCAATAGGATCGAGTTTTTCGTTTGATACGTTTTCATTTATATTATAGATAAAATGTTTGTTTACCGACTTACATTCATCTCGCAAAAATAAATATAAGCTCAGAGTAAACAAACATCCATGCAATCTCGTGATAAAAGTAATGATTAAAGCAAGGATGACAACACAAATCAGTCTATTTAAGTATCAACCTGTTTAGTGCCAAGTTCATATAAAGATTAAAAAAAGACTTCATTTGATATTTTATTATGTGAAATGTAATAAAAATCTAAATATCTATTTTTAAATGTAAATAGTAACTACAGAAATGCAGAGCTCTTCAAAGCTGCGGGAAGATCTAAAAGAAGAAAGGAAATACGAAAGATTCAAAGTATGCATCTAAAAGGTTAAATACTTTATATTGACAGTTTTGCATTTTATGACTACTTTATTACGCAATGAATTTTTAATTATAGAATTTATTATTTATATATATACCTATATATATATATATAGACCGTAAAACATATTTATATAACGCCCACACTGCAATACAGCCAATTACAAGCGTTATTTATATTGTCGCCGAGGCACACAACGCCTCTCACTATATAAGTTATTATTATAGTATTTAATATAATTAGATATTTGATCTTTTCATGTTATTAATTACATGAAGCTTTTAAGACTATATAAGCTTATCAATTTCCATAGAGATCAACAGGACATTTTATAAGATTTAGATTATAATAGAAGAAAAAAAAACAATGATACTTTTTTATAATAAAAATCTTACATCAATTTTCCAATAATTGATGTTTAATGCGTTAAAAATGACTTTTTTGTGATATTTAAAACTTTTTATAAAAAAGTTTAACATTATATTGAAATTCTAATCAGAAGTTATAAATGTATTTTTCATATTTTTTAAAATGCATATTTTTTATTTCAATATCTTACTTTTTTTAGTCAAGTTATCATAATAAAACTCTATATCCTTCGATGCAAGTCAAATTTTATTTGGTTTGTTATCATTTTTGTCATCATTTTTGTCATCATTTCCGACGTTGGGACAAGCGTAAGAAATTTACGAGCGCACGTACGTGCGATTGAGCGGGCGTTCGCCATTATTCGGAGCCCTTCCGGATACGCGATTTCAACTAATTATTTTTTTTTAGTCGTCAGTGGTCTCAGACATTACACCCGCATTTTTGGATTTCCATTTGAAACGCCTGGATATACGTTGGAAATTTTTGATCACATATATGTACATATCAGTGATTTTCAATTGTCTGTTATTTCAGTGTGAGCCTACATTTAATTTTCGCTCCACGAACGCTCCAAACTTCAACCACATTCATTTTTGTTAAAAAAAATAGATGAAAGCTGCTTTCGTGAACGTAATTAGGTATCCTGTGCGCATTTAGAAGCAAAATGTCAATTTTTACTTCCTTTTTAGAAAAGGTTATTTATATTTAGTGGGATTCATCATTAATACTAGTAATATACCTTGAGATTCATTAATTGTAAGATTTCAAGATTATAGCGTCTGTTACTCCTTGTCTGCTTTCTGCAGATTCAGAACAAAGTCTTCAAAGAACAGAATAATTAAAATGTAAATCTTATTTCAAAGACAAAATGAGAAATATAGACGGCGTGCAATTTGATAACCAGATAATGACTATCAATTCACGTGCATTTTCTCATTGTTATACCAGAATAACTTTGGCATAATCATTAAGGAGAAGGAAATTTCTCGCTGAATCTTAGATCGATCGTTTTCATTACAGATAATCTCACAAGCAGGGCGTATTATAAAGTTATTTAATAGAAACAACAAGACTTTCGTAAAATTTAATTTGATTTATAATATGGAAACACACAAACTGTATCCCATGAAAAACTTAAGAAAAAGTCGAATTATTTAAAGTAAAACTTCATTTTAATAAAAAGTTGCTGGACAATTATCTATAATAAATATTTATGATTTCGCAAGTGGATTGAGAGCAAAATTTTGTTAAAAATAAATCTGTCTGTAAGTTTTATAAAAGATTCGTTTTTAATAATCTTTTATAATTATTGGTCAACAATAGATGAATAGAAAAATGATATTTAAATATTTTTGTTATGATATCGTACTTCTTAAATAGATAACGTATTCCATTTCAATCGATGTGAAAAACTACAAATGAACCGATAATTAAAATGATAGGAAATGTGAGATTTGTGAAATAATTATTTTTTGTATTGTTAAAATGGAGAGGCTAGAGATTTTCATCTCTCGGTGATTTGACAAGCAAATTTTCTGTGTGAATTAACTGAAAACACAGTAAAATTTTTGAATGTAGATTTTTAATTTAGATGTTCGTATCGTGAAAACGAGCGAAATGCACACGAAAGAAAGAACAAAAGATCAATTGTGAACTGCGCAGAAATAAATATCAATTTTTGCTTAGTTCTGTGTTGTACGCATTCAATCCCATACGTGATTAGCAAACAATTAAAAATCAAACATTAAAAAAAGGAAAGTATAAGAGAAAATGGAGAAGAAAGAAAATATAATTCTGTATATATATATATGCAAATATACGTTAAAATAACACATATTTTGATTAATTTTGAGCAGAACTAATTTGAATATTAGACTAATTTTCTTTTTTTTTATAGAAACAGACAGTTTCCAACAGAAATACATTAAAAAATTTTCTGGAATTAAATTTCTTAAAAGATGTAGTAAAGTTTATTTTGTTTATTAATTTCAAGTTTGATTGTATTTTTCTGTTACTTTAATTAAAAAGTTGACATTTAAAATAATTCAAAGATATTTAACTAAAAGATAAGAAGAATTTCTACATATAATTCTTCTCGAAATTTTCTCTAAGGGCGCACTGAGAGAAAAATGTATTAAATTTTAATAAATATTTATTCGAATAGTGCCAATTAAATATTTATTAAATGTTAACATATATTTATTTGGTGCAAGAACTATTAATTTGATTTACCTATTATTTAATAGAAATAACAAGGCTTTTGTAAAATTTAATTTGATTTATAATATGGAAACACACAAACTGTATCCTATAGTGCCGTATTCATAGTCTATTTGTATATTTTAAGATCGTCTTAAGTAATGTCTTAAGATGCTAATGCAACCGTCTGATTGGCTTGTAATTTCATAAGATTGTACTTAAGACATTATATAAATAAGAATCTCTCTCTCTCTCTCTCTCTCTCTCTCAAATTTAAATACCGGCCTAAGAAATAAAGCTCTTTAAAAATATTAAGAAGCATTTCCTAAAATATTGATTGGGGACAGTATGTTGATAAATTTACAATTTTTAGGAGAACATTTTTAAAGACGATGACAATCTATATCGCTTTATCAGTTAAGATAGATTAATTCGAGGTCCAAAATCTGAAAGCTCACGTATGCAAATTTTTCGCAGAAATCTCTGCTTCGTCTCAAAGTCAGTTTGCTACAGGACTCTGACCTCAAAGACGCAAGAACCTATTTCATCCCTTAGACGGAACATTGATGTGCTTCGCACTAATATAAGTAAGATTCGTACGACGTATAATTAAAAGAAAAAAAAGAGGAAAAGAAAGCACATCACACAGGACGATCTCGTTAAAATAAAAACCACCTTCTCCGTTATGGTATGTGGCAGCAACCACGATGCAGAGAATTCTTAATGAAAATGGCCCTCTCTTGTAAGGATCACAGGCATAATAAAACAAGCGGCTGCTAACTTCTGTGCTGCTTCCCATGTGGCAAAATTTTTTAAAGTTTTCAAATATTTGACTTTACAACAATACCGCGATGTCGCGCGAACATGAGAAACTGCCACAACACAATTTAATGGAGATTCATGAAAACATTGCCTCTTGTTACTTTAGTTTCAAAAAATTAAAAAAGTAGTCCTGGGTTCACTCACATGTGGTTCAGTCTAAACACAAAGTACAGTTAGATACAGAGATATAAAGAGCAATAAAAATAGGTCTGCAAAAAAAGTTAAATTAAATTTAACTCGTCAGTAATTGGAAACTGAATTAGAATTTTCACGAAACATGAAAGAGATTTCTTTAATCTTTTATTGTTTCAATAAAAACGATTATTTTTAGATGAAATTAAATATAAAAAAGAGTCATAACTTTCTGAATATATAATTATGCTCTCTGTAAACATCGTGTAAAAGAAGTAGATTATTAACGTACAGAATATGTTTTTCCCGAAAATCAGTGAAAACCAACTGTAAAATATTTCATATATATTAATTACGAAAAATACAAAGTTATTTTCACGAGAGTGACAGTTTTTTAAAAGAATGGCATATGCATTACATTTAAAAAAATACAATTTGTCACACTTCACGATCGAGTAAACGAAACGTGACCTTTAAAAAATCGTTAGGCTTCTCTCTAATCACAATTTTCTGAATCTTTTTTACTGTCTCCATTTTTCAATCTTTTCATGAATATCTTCCCACACATGTATTTTAAATATCAACATCAATAGACCTAATGTAGCTACCTGTCAAATATCATTGAGATTGAATTATACATCATCAAATTGTCTATTGGAGAAAAACTCGTATTGGAGAACAATTTCGTAATGAAAGCGTTTTTGCAAAAGAGAATTTGCAAAAAACCGCCAGAGCGAGTAAGTTCTTCCACCTCCTCGTTATTATATTTCGTCACAAGAGAGTGGCAAAGTTGGAGGGATGAACGGGGCATGGCAAGAAGAGGACGCTTGCGCCCCGTGGCCGCGTGGCCGCTTTCCAGCGGCCACCTGTACTGTGCGCCCACTCTGTCTCTTTCTCTTTCTCTCGTTCTCTTCCTGTCTCTCTTTCATCCCCCCGACGAAAGCACGGCTTTCCCATATATATGAAGGGACCCTCGGTATTGCCACACTTCGCATCATTACCGCCGTAACGTGCAAGCCATTCAATTCCTGCTCGACTCACGTCACCTGAGACTAACGCTCAAGAATTCAAACTCGGTGAGTTCAAGAGTTCTCGATTTATTTCTTATGCATATCCTTTTGCATTATTCCTTATTTTCACTTTTATTTCTTTTTCTTTTCTAGTAGTTATCTTCACGTATACAATTTCTAAGTCCACATCATGGAAAGTGTGTTTTTTTGCAATTTGTTTTGAAAATACTATAAAATCTTATTATAATTAATATTGAACTTCCGTTGTTTGACTTATCTTTAAATTCATTGGTCGTGAGTATAATTAACATATCATATTACGCGCATTTTAATTATGGAAAGATCAGGAAGCATTATATTTTCAATATTCTCTGATTCTGTGAAATGAAATTACTTCATCAAAATTTTTCATAGTGTGAAAGGATTTTATTATTTATATAGTTACGGTAATAATGATAACAGACATATTATTAATACTTCTATATAATCAATGACTATAAAAAGAATTGTTGTTATGAATATATCCAAAATATCATTATAATAATTTAGTGAAATGCTTTTACGTTACTTTCTAACTAATTTTTTATAATTTCATTGCATAAATCATGATCAATGACAAATCATCGTTTCTTATATTATTTGTGATATTAATTATCTTAAAATTTTACCTTAATTAATTTTTTTTTATTTCTTGAAACCTGTTTAAACAAATTATAATTTGAGCTGAATTTCGAAATAAAATTCTATTTATAATATCTATTTTTGTATATTATGTATTTTCATACATTGCGGGTGTATTTATATCTTTTGTTACATTTTAATATATAGGTATATTTTGATATATGTTAAATACATGTTGTACATTCTAATTTTGTAATACATTTTTTTAATTATACGGCACATAAAATTACAAACAGAATTCTATTCTTCTACGAGAGAAAATCATTTAAAAATAGACTTAAAAAGTTTAATTTACTTTGTGATCGTATAGCTCTTTTAATTTGGTAAATCACTCAACAACAATAAACCAATAAATAATATACTAGATTCTGTTTTAAAATATCTAATACATTGATTTATAGTACATTTTATTGATATGTTTTTTTAAAGTGATGGGCATGGATCGACGATTTGTTTTAAAAAACAATTATTATTAATTAAACGCAATTGTAAATCAATTGCACTTTTCAATTATAATGCAATCGAGATGCGAGTAATCTTGTCCGTCAATCCTGTTCGACTCTCAAGACGAAAAAAATAACAGATCATTTGAATAATTATTTTATTGATTATTAATCTATTATGCCCATCCTTTAAAATGTTTTATATTATTTGTTTTTTATTACTTATTTATTTACTTTGTTTTAACGATACCTATTTACTATAAATAATGTATAATGAATTTTACTTTACAAAAAATGGTGTTGATTATTACAGTTATAATGTAAAAATCAGATTTTTTTTATTAATCAAAATGTCAATAATGCAACCATTTACCAATAGTTAAATGCAAACTGCTAGTTTTCCTCAGCTTAATTAATCTTTATTTTCAAGTTATGTTTCTTGGTAAAAAATATATCATATATAAAGAATATGATTTTTCATATTTATCAGTTAGTATATGTGTGTGTGTGTGTGTTTTGGGTGTGTGCGTACGTATGCGTGCGTTTCACATACACTTTCATCTCCATTGAAAAAGTTGAACAATCATGACGCATGATGTAACAAAAAATTTTTGGGAAAAATAATACATCGTTTTCCATATACTGAATAATTTTTCTACATGACTAGATGATGATACATATAATTCAAAATTGATGAGTAGGACAATTTTAATTTTCTAATGTGATTTAATTTTGTATATTTTAAATAATTAGTAAAACAATTTTGTATAATATATATAAATACATCAATACGATAGAGAACGTCATTAGCAGTCAAAGTTAGATGTTTCGAGTAATACAATATATATTCTTTACTAAATCAATTTATTTCAGATATGTGTATTTGTATATACTATAATACATTTGTAGTATATATATTTAAAATATACTACATATAAAACCAATACGAGTTAATTTGTAAAAAGTATTTATCAAATTGTGTATATCCATTCGTAATATAAATAATATAAACATTGAATTTTTTTCTTAAAGCATATGAGTAAGTCTGTAGATCAATTTTTATAAATGACACTCTAAAGAGATAAAAAATTAAAAATCCCATGTATTCTGTAAAGAATATTTATAAAAAGATATTAGTGAAAGATTAAACATTTAATAATAATTAGATTTTTATTTAGATACTATGATTTTTTCTTATTTTTTATAAAACTAACTGTAAAAATTTAAATACGTAACTATGCTGCGTATATATCCAATCAATGGTTTTTAAACAAAAAACGCTTTTGTATTCCTCATAAAAATTGAGTACGCTGCCCTTATGATTATGATGTACGTAAATCCATTGAAACTATCCGGCGGCGTGGTCATTACTATTTTCTTTATCGTGATATAATGGGTGATAAATTACTAACGTAGGTCAAAGATATAAAACAGAGGACAAAGAAAGATTGACATTTCATAGCTGGATTATCCACGTTTACAGCCGATATATTTGCAAATTTTAGAATAATTTCATTTAAAACCTGTAATTATTTTCAGTTTGCATATTGTATGTCATATATTACATATTATTATATTTAATATGACGTAAATTGTTATTTTTTATTTGTGTTTTGCGCTTGATGTTTCACGTTATACGTATGTCGTTATTATACAATAATGGTAATTGTTCATTTAATATGATTATTTACGCTTTAAATAAAAAGATTTGACCGCATTTTCTCGGACATTGTACGCAAAAATAAATTTCAGTAAAAATAATTTATATAGAACTATCGAATTAGATATTTTTAATTTAGGTTCTTTTTCTACACCTACTACAATCGCATAATTTAAGTATAAATCTTAAAAAATTATAAAAAATTAAATGTAATTTTCAAAGTACAAAGTTTTTTAAATTTTATCTGTATTAATACTTTATTATTATAAATTATAATAAATTATTTCCGTTATAATAAATTATGGTTTCCCATATTTATTTTTATTTTATATATTATTTTATATGTTTTATATTTATATGTATTAAAACAGACATTTCTTTCACACACATTTACTTGAAATATTAATTTCGATATACGCTTTACTTTCCGCGTCGCACGATTATGCAGATTATAAATTGTATTGCAAAAGATTTAACTTAGCGGATAACTCGTACTGAACTTGAACGTATACGATTTATATAATTTATTCGTAAGTAAAAAGTTACAAATTTTTTAATCTGCTTTTCTAAAAACTTTCTGCAGCGCGCGTTCACATTTTGTCAAACTTCTCAACTGGAAATGCGTGGGTGCAATACATCTATGCGTTAAAATACCGGTGGCATTGTACGACCAAAATTCATTTAACTTGAATATTATTAACATTACATACATGCGTATATATGATGCAATCAAAGTCATCTGGGGTTGATAATTGAGCAGCTTGAAAATTTCATGGGACAATAAGTAATTGTGGGGAAACAAAATCGGGATACGCACGAAGTATCTTATCGCGCAAATGGAAATTTCTCGAGATAGCTGAAAAACAGCTTTTAAAACGTAATTCCAATATATACAGAAGTGGTATCCAAAATCGATATTCAGTTACAATGTGTTTTTTCATTGCGCAACGACCTGTGCTTTTCGCACACTTCTCGTTTATTAAGACATTTCACTAACGACTAATTAGCGCAAAAAGTAATTACGATCAGATATTGTTACATGGAGACTGAACATCGATGGAGCTATGATAATCGATATTTCTTTTCTTATAGAGCCTCTCTTTCTTAATTATTGGCTCACTGATTATACAACAAATACAGTTATTTTTCTTGAACGCTGGCAGGTAAATATATTAAAAGTCGATATAAGTGCTGCGGAGAGAATTCACGAGCAAAAATAATTGGTGAGCAAAAATACGATTTTACCATCTTCTCATCGGTACGCGTAAATTATTTATGTTCTTTAAAAGCCTGTACAGCACGTAGCGAGTAAAAAGATGGGCAATTATTGCCCTGGAAAGCTCAACAAGTAAATTGCCGTTAATGATGGTTGAGAAATGCGGGATATTCCTGAAATATTTCTCTGTATTATTATCATCTGCTCGCGTTGCGAAGCTTTAGAATTTTCAAATTATGATTTAGTCTTTTTTCAAAAGAAACGGAATGTTTTATTTCTCATTAACAGTAATAACAGAAATTTTTTATATTTAAATAAAAATATATATCATCAAAGGATTTATTTTATAATAAAAAAAATATTTAACATATATATACTTTTCTGCAAAGTGTTTAATAGTGAAGATATTTCACAAAGAAATATTGCTTCTCGCGATTTGAAATTATTATTTGAACTGTTCGTTATTCTCTACAATTTTTTTTAAATTAATACTTTTTACTTTAAATTTACTTTTAATTTTACTTTAGCGAAATCTTGATTGGAGTTTTATGCCTAAATTCTAAGCAGAATCGTAAGGCTCGTAATATATTCCTGTAAGACTTGTAAAAATTTTTAAGTGCTTATACCTTTATATAATATTTTACAGACAGCTTCTTATTTATAAAGCTATAAAATTTATAAGAAACCGTAGGTATTTATGAATAATCGTACATCTTACGATACATACGCATAAAATTAAAATACTAGTCATAAGTTTTTATAAGTTTTACGAGAACACGTTACGAGTCTTACGATTCTGCTTAGAATTGACCCATTAGTTAGTTATTCAATGAAAATTCAATAAGAATTCCGAAAAAAAATCTACTATTAGAGATGATAAAGAACTTGTCTTTGAATTTATAGCAGTTTACATGCAGAGCGTTTACATAGAGATGGTTTGAGACCTTCCAAAACAACCCCATGCAAAACACATTGTGCTATCTAAGAAATCGATGGCAAGGACGAGGCACGCTTTCATGCTTATATTAAACTTTGAACTATCTATGTGTCAGTTTGCATCAGATTTTAGGAATATTTATAACTTTATGTTACATAATTTGACGTCTACATTTTTATGTATTTGTGTATATATTCTGATTTTTCAAAAATATTTTTCATATCGTGCAACATAAAGATATGTATTCAATTTTATTTTGAATTCTGATGAGAATTATCCATCGTCTAAAATGGGCTTCATAAAGCAATTACGCATCGGCGTGTATTGCATTCGTGTACGTTTAACATCGAGCACGCGAAAACGATTAAACGGATTTACCTCGGTCAATGCGGTGTGAGTAATCAACGGATTATACGCTATAATTCGCGCTCGTAGAACGACAAATAGAATTGGATTCGACAACTTGGGTTTCGTCGTACGTTAGAAATTGTCGCGACGTAAACCGCAATAAATAATAACATAAACCGGATCTCTCTCCGTCTCCAGTCACTGGAACAGAATTTCAAATTTATTTGTTTAATAAAAATACTTGATGTAGAAGGCATTATATTTTATACATATTATAATAAATTAAATACTTTTTTTTAAGAGATTTGCTATATTTTCACGCGTGTGTTTGTAAATAGTTATATTTTTTGTTTAAAATATAATTCTCTGATTGTATTTTTCAAATTTATACTCTCAAATATATTTCCTATTTTATTATTTAATAAATAATTCAAGACACAATTAGATATGTAATAATATTATATTTGTCTAGAGAGAAAAAGATAATTATATAAGATAGACTACGAAAAGTTACAGCACAATCTATATTTATGGAAATTTCATAATACATATAAAAAATAAAGTACGAATACAGTTTGCATTTATTACGTTTCCAATTTATTATTATAGAAAAAGAATTTATTTTTTCTCAGATTTTTTATTTCTTCAAGCTTAATCTTTTTGCCCCTTAGGTTCAGAGTAATAGAGAAACCAAACTCTTATGGCATTCTGCCAATAAGTTCTTCAAGTGTTCTAATCGAAGATTTGTATTTAAGCAAGTATTTAATTTCTACTTGAGAATATATATTGTTTCCATTTTTTTTAACTGTTTATGGTCATCATGATATCCAAATGTTTATCGATATTTAATTCAAAATGTGAATTATATTGATATTTCTTTCAATTGATATACATGTTATTTGTTTATTTAAGAAATTTATTTATAATTTTCGTTTATAATTATTCTCCGACAATTCGCAACTTCATTGAATATTTCTGTAAAAATAAGAGATATATTATATATCATATTATAATTTCATATTTTATAAATAAAAAACGGAATTATTAGCAAAAATATAAGATATACTGAAATTTCTGAGCGATAGTATATATAAATATATACATGATATATACAGAATAAATATAAAGCCATATTACAATATTTTTGTTATCTTTCTGCAATTCTCCCGCTTGCAGGAAGAAAAAAAATATTATTTCGATGCTGCATGATTTATTTACAATATAACTTGTATTTTTCTGTTAAGAGAAATTCATGCATATTTTCTTCTTTAGATGAGTCGTAACATTACTTGTACATTCAAATTTAAAAATATTAAACTTTCAACGACAAGGGAATGAAAGTCATATTAGTGTTAATGGAATTTTCCCCGGTAAATAAAAAAAAATATGTTTACATGCGTTTCTGTTGTGTAATTAATATTAAGGGGATCCTAAAGCCGTCTGTATTATCGACTAAATCGTAATTTTTATATAACAAATAATTTTTTTTCTCTTTCACAGATTCTCAAAAATCCTTTTCCAGGATTAAAATATACACATTAATACGTGTTTGTGAGGTAGAATTTATGCCGAGAACAACAAAAAATTTTCTTAAGATTTCAATTTCGAAATTTTTTGTCGTTTTCGGCATAAATTCCACCTCACGAACACGTATTAATGTGTATACTTTAATCCTGGAAAAGGATTTTTGAATCTGTGAAAGAGAAAAAAAATTATTTGTTATATAAAAATTACGATTTAGTCGGTAATACAGACGGCTTCAGGCTCCCCTTAAAGGTGAAAATGAAGGAAGACAATAACGTCGTACTTTTCCCCGGCAAAACAACGTCGAAATGGATCGTTCGGTTTTAAAATAGGCGTGGTTTATTATTCAAACAGACACGTATAATGGGTCTATATTTGAATTTTACGGTCAAAGCCGCAGATTACACGCTGGCACAGGTGTCATACACGGACGAAGCCTTCTTGCTTTGCGTGCTTTAATGGGGATTGCCTCTAAATTAATACACCGTTCGGAACAGAGATCGCGATGCTTGCGCGGATACCCTCATCGTGAGTCAGATGATAGGTTGTGGTAGTACACGAGTTGCGTGGAAATGATAATTCGATATGGAAATGTCACGTTCATGCGACACTTGCGTGTGATCCAATTTAATATTTTACGCCAAAAATTAACGTTTACATATGCACTTAATTCTACAACGTTGTTCACGTGCACGCGAATATTCGTCGTTTCACGATGCGGACGCGATCCTCTCTTCTAAGTAGAATTTATAATTCAATGAATTATTCAGAAAGCGCAGTGTCGATGCTGATAGTTTTCTTTTTTCTCTTGCTTCTTGTCTTGTCACTTGAGCCGTTACATGACATAAATAATAACGTAGCTAACTAGATATCGACATAGAAATATAGCTCGTTAATATTGTAACCTCGATGATATCGATAACATGACCCTTTGAGAATCGAGGACGTAAAGAGGTACGCTTTGACTCACAGTCTCGAATGAGCTAAAAGATTTGATCGATAAAATTTCATTAGGCTATAGAAAGATTTTCCCAAACTCTCTTTTGATCACAAAATTACGAAGTGCTATAATGTCAGCTGTGAAACTTAACAAATTTTTCAATAAATAAAATAATTTTCTTGAACCATTTCAGCGAATATTAAATAATTTATTCAAGCGAGATTAATATATTTTTTAATAAAAAATGAAAAATCGTTGTACGTGTGTGTGTGTGTGTGTGTGTGTGTGTGTGTGTGTGTGTGTGTGTGTGTGTGTGTGTGT